AGTCTGTCTACACGGTCTTGTTAATTTGTCTGACACAGAGTGTTGGCCATTACAGAGAACGAATATCTGGATAGAGAGAACGAGAAAAATCACAGAAAACCTAACGAGCTAGGAATCGTACGCCCACACCCACCGAACGAACATGTTAACGAACGTTTCTATAAATGGTTATCATACTGTCTAAATTCTACGCAGTTTGGTTACAAACTTTTCGTCACCAACCGAGGTGTCATCATCAGTGCGTAGTTGTGCGTAGTGGTGGGTTGGTGGTTTTGCACTCAGTAGTGTTACGTGCGTGTTGATATACGTGCTGGTAGTCGTGGACGACCCTGGACCGCCAATCGAGGTGACATCATCAGTGCGTAGTTGTGCGTAGCGGTGGGTTATTGGTTGTGCGTTCAGTAGTGTTACGTGCGTGTTGATATACGTGCTGGTAGTCGTGGACGACCCTGGACCGCGATTAGTTATTCGGTCGGCGGCTCCAATGGTTGTTCTTTTATCCCGTGTCCTCATTCGGCGATGCCTACGTGACTTAGCATCCCTCGCCGTCGTAGTCTGGTCGATGTTGGGGTGACCTTTGTACTTCCGAGTTCCTACTTGTGACATTTATATATTTGACTCCGATGGGTTCCTTGTTTCTTCGTTTGCGAATGCAATATTTGGTCCTCCTTGAGTATTTTGGTTGAGATGTCGGTCTTTCTCACACAGAGTTGCGTAAATAGGATCCAGTTCGATTCACCGGCTGATTGAACGTGCCGTAAGGTACCATGCTTCCATAAATTCTCTTCTGCGTCGCGGTCTCCGTATGTCAAAATGTTCGCGTTTTCCAGATTGAATTTGTGGCCCTCTTGGTCCTCGTGTACAGATATTAAGTACAGGGCATCATACCCTCCGACAGCCGTGTGGTGTTTCTTTACTTGTGTACATAATTTCCTCCCCGTTTGTCCAACGTAGAATTTTTTGCAGCTCGGCGAAAAAGCCAACAACCATCTAAGCTAACTGAGCTACCGACATTCTCCTGTATAAACTCTCGCAAAACCAAAGATCCATAATTGTTATTTAATAAATCATACTTAGATAAGTGTTCACATCTTTTTTGGTGAAATGCATTTTTAATTGATGTGTAATCTTAGACAGCCAGAGCAACGCACGCGACAACTTAACCTAAAACAGTCGCCCAATGTTGATTCGGAGGACACCAGTAAAAATTCTGGAACCTAGTGAGGCTTGCATTTGTAATCCCCGTCTTGTGCTCTCAGCCTGAGTGAAATGTGTTTTAAGGGTCCCTAGTTATTGGTGCTCTCAGAGTCTCCAGAAATTGAGACCGAACTTGATAAACATCAGTGTCCTTAGGTCCCTGAACGTTTATTGGGAAATCTGTTCTAACGTGCAGATGAGGTAAACGAAAATCGGTATAAAAATTACAACTGTTCGACAGATCTGCCAGCCGATAAACAATCGTTTGCAATGAAACGTAACGAGAATTCATCCATATATACGCATCTTGGCATTTGCAAAATCTAAAATAAAATTCAAACAAATTTCAAATTATATCACCAGACGTTTTTGGTCGTATGAAGACTCATTGAAACGTGTACCAGTAGTATCGGATTGCGCGTTTAGGCGCTTGGCTTAACCTGATGAACGGAAACTCGCCAAACCCAAAAACGTGATAACATGATAATCAATATGATAATGAGTAAACTTAGAGCACCTGAGGCAACGGTTATTGGCACAATCTGAAATGGTCCATATATGTACCACAAAAATATTGTTTCATTTGCAACAACATTTACTATCTTTTTGACACGTGTTTTATGGACCAATACCAGTGTAACGATGATACCACTGATAAGGGAGGCACGCGAGTAGTATGTGTTCTTCGTAGAATTTCGCTTTGCGTCGATTGAAAAGGGGAATTCCGTTGCGGAACTCGTGGGGCCACTTTGTAACATTTGCTTAGATTTGACCGACGAATGAGTCTTGGCAATGAATCTCTAGGAAGACTCGTTTGGGAGAAAATCCGTGTCCAGTTTTTGTAAATAAGATGCAGATTAGAGTTTTGCCGCCCTGTTCAATGGTCTGCAACCGGTCAGTTGGCGTTTACGAGTGAATAACTCCGCAGCCAAGGCCTTCTTCCTTTCATTTGGTGTCGTGACCAGGATAAGGATGAAGATCCCGTGGCCGCAACCCTTTGAGAATGGGGATGTTCGGACCTTCCTGGAGGACTTTGAGG